ACACAACACAGGTGTTACACACAACACAACACAGGTGTTACACACTGAAAGTACACGAGGATCGTTTCTGTCGGTCTCTGGGATCAGTCCGTGGATTCGTGATGGACTCACACGTATCAGCAGGTAATTGTCGGGACGTCACACAACGACTCTGAATGAGTCTGAAGGAACGTGAGTGAAATCTTTAGAATCCAGTTTGGACACGTGTTGGATAGAAACCTTCTTGGACCAGAGCGCCGCCTCAGACCGGAGGTCACGATGGGTCGCAGCTGGGATCCAGTGAAACGGCATTAAAGCCTTAAATGATGAAGTGCGGTGAGGGGCAGGAAGAGAGCTGCTGGAGTGTGGAGGCTTTTGTTAAACGCTCATGAATGTGTTGCTTCAGCACAGTTGTTGTCTGTCTGAATTCAGCTGTGACACACAGTCATTTACTCCTCCAGACTTTCTCTCCATCACAGTCCATCGTGTCTCTTTTGTCTGTTTCGGCTCCTCAGGTGCCAGCGTCCCTCGGCCCAGCCCTCCACCATGGCGGATAAAAACACCAGGATCGCCATCGTCAGCCATGACAAATGTAAACCGAAGAAATGCCGCCAGGAGTGCAAGAAGAGCTGCCCCGTGGTCCGAATGGGTGAGCGTTAGCTCTTTAATACGACGATGAATGAGCCGAGTTATTCTTAACATGAGCTGCTCTTCACGTGTGTTCTCAGGTAAGCTGTGCATCGAGGTGACGCCACAGAGTAAGATCGTGTGGATCTCCGAGTCTCTGTGTATCGGCTGCGGTATCTGCATCAAGGTAAAGGCGTGTTTGTGTCGGAGGGCTCGGTCACACGAGGTGACTGTGACAGACAACACCTTTTATTTTGAAGGGTTTCTACAGATCAGTGTTTGTTTGTATTGTGTTGTTGTTGAGTGTCTTCTGTGGATGTTGTGTGGTTATTCTGACGTCGGTGTGTTTTTGTAGAAATGTCCTTTTGGAGCGCTGTCGATCGTCAACCTGCCCAGCAACCTGGAGAAGGAAACCACACACAGATACTGCGCCAACTCCTTCAAACTGCACCGGTACGCTGCTGCTTTAACCTCCACACGTGAGAGACGTGATTTTCTCTGTATGATGAGAAACATGTTAGGAATAGAAAAATGGAATGAAAACATTCTCGAGTCCTGGACATAAACAGAACTGATCTGACACCAGTGAATATTAACTCTTATGAGTGTTACTGACTCTATCATGTTGTTTGAACTGATTCTCACAATAAAAAACAGAACATCTCAAAACTTTGAAAAGGACGTGAGTCTTCCAGGACGTGTCCCCGTTTTACTAGTTAAGTTCCGGCGTCAAATATCAAACTGCTCACATGTTCACTTTGACCGATGCTCGAGCACAGGAAATCATAACCTGTGGTAGAACCGACCGGCTGCTGTTACAGAGCGAAGAAGAAGGGATTTCTGGGAAAATTAAATGTTGTGAAAAGACGTGTCATCAGATCAGTTCATAGATTTACTGACGTCCGAACGCTTCAGCTCCGTTTTAACAAGATTTATTTTGTGTTCATCTCGACAAGAAACAAGATCATTAAGATTTATTATGACAAGTGGAAGGAGTTTTATTTAAACAGGAGTTTTATTTAAACAGGAGTTTTTATTTTCTGCAGTTTTTGATCACTTATTGTGTCTCTCTCTCTCTGTCTCTCTCTCTCTCTCTCTCTCTCT